AACATGAAGGATGATTTTTATCACAGCACGAGGACTCGCTATTTATCCCACAAAATATATTCGAAGCGCGTCGCCCTTTATTTTTAGACAATGCCGATGTATAGATATAGAATGTTTATGTAAAAGGTGAAAGATTAAAAAAGTAACGTTCTATCTATAAAAGAGAAACGTCCCTAGAGAAGTTGTAGCTGTAGAAACGGAGAGTTGAGAACCGCGGTCTTAAAACAGCACTGCGTGCCAGATCGATACCATGGCGGCTACTACCCTTAAACTCTGAAATGTGGACCGAAGTGTTGTGGACGCAAAATTTCAAGCTTTCATCGACGATCATATATCGTCGTAATTACGTATATACGGGAAAGGAAAAAAGACAGAAAGAGAGAGAGCGAAGATGTAATAAAAATAAGATGAAAGGCTTTTTATACACGCGTATCGCTCGAGCGAACAATCGAGAGGGCGAATTGTCGAAAAGTTTTTTTCTGTTGGAATCTTGCAAACGTATTTGTTAACTTTTGACTGTGATGAATGAGTTTTAACTCGTTCTTTGACATTCTAGTTTTATATTGCGCGAAGAACGTCGCGCACAGTCGACTTATCTATCCAGCGCAAGTGCATAATTCACGCGTATAAATTATAAATCGACGCGACATAACGAAATATATGTATACGAGTCTTCGACGTTCTAACTTTGTCCCGACCTGCTTTTTCTCGCCTGTCAGGATCGTTTTCTTCGTACATGCACTTTGTGTAAGGCAATCGCCTCTCGTGCCTCTGCGTGTCGGTCCCGCGTTGACTTATTGACTGAGGTCCGTTAAACGAGGCGAAAGGTCCGTGGGGTCCGGGAAAGTTAACAGATGAACACAAGGGGGACACGTGAGCCGATAACACACACGCATACATGTATACACAGATAGACAGCATACACGTCGTGTGCACGCGTGCCGCTATCATGTCCGGAGCAGACGCCGATGGACGGGGATGCTGATCTCGATTTAATTAACGCCAGTTTAAATGCCGTCGAACAATTTACCAGCAGCTTCGAATGCCTCATAGCTGGGTAAAGTATTAGCATACTAGTTCGATACGAAACAGTAGAAGTGAAATAGAGTCTGATTGAAAGGTATCTATAGGATAATTGATAAAAGCCGAATGCTCAAAACAATAACGAATTTCATCTGCTGATTCCATTTGCTTAAAATGTTCTTCATATTTTTTGCTAGCTAGCGGTATTACTCGAAGCGTTCCATCGCCGAAAGGAATGTCTTGTCAAGAATGAACACCTTCCTCGAGTGGACGACGAGCGAGGGACAGATTCCTCGCGCAAACACGTCAACGTCTCATTTGTCACGTCACGTGGAGTGCGTTCGCAACGCTTACGTACAATCCACGATGCTTACCCTCGCTCCTCACGTCCCGCTATCCCTCAGAACCAACCCCTCAAGTAGAAGTGGCTCGTATCCATAAAAGATAGGGGCGAGAGTAAAGTGCGCGCCGTGATCGTAAGCCATGCGTTCGCACCCGTGAATACGTGTAGTGCGTTGCATCTGAGAGGGAATCTGCGTATCTCAGTGAGGAAAAAATTCTAATCAGAGAAAGAACAAGATTTTTTGAATCGCGAGATAGAAAGGAAATGGCTCGATTTATCTCGCCATGTGTATTGTGTGTATAAGCTATCATTTATCCTTATATAATGATCTTCGTATCTAAGCGCCATATATATTGTTCGTGGATTTACGGCGGATAGATGCCATTACTCGCGTTCTATTGTAATGCAAGTCTCCTTCGGCAATACGGAAAATATCCGGGGAATCTTACGCGAATTTGGCGAAGAGAGCCGGAGAAAACGAAACGCTATACGCGTAATAACGCGCCCAATGTAAGGAAGGAAGGAAGGCAGGAAGGAGGGTGCAACCCCCGAGATTTTAAGCCGGTGATATTAATATTGGAGAAGTCGGCGACGGAGTAGCTCTTGGCGTGTATATATGTATGTAGAAGGCGCTGTAGTTTGTGAAATCGTACGACGTAGATAGGTAGGTAGGTCTATGAGCACCTACAGGCAGTTTGTTAAAAGCGCAGGCCACATACGGCTTAATATCGATTAAGGGCCACAAAGGACTCCTGTTTCGCTCTGGCCGTTTACTATCTATACCGAGATTACACCAAGTTTCGGCCACGACGGATATACAGCAGCGATGTATATACGCAAAATACGCGTTTTACGACACTATTAAATTGCTTCGTACGAAATATTGGCGAGCTTTATAATTATTATTTGCAATGCTCCGCAGGGAAATTTGAATCGTAGTGTTCGCACGATAAATCAATCGAGAATGTAAATCGTTTATGAAATGTGTAAATAATATTAATCACTCATTGAACGATATCCCATAATTTGCATATATATAAATTGCGGC